ACATACTTCACCATGTTTTTCTAACACTCATATGTGGCCATAGTCTGTCTACAAACCCCCCCAATGGTAAAAAAAAAAAAAAAAAAGTCCATCCTCTCTCTCATGACACTTTGCTTCTCCTTTCGTAGTGATAGAATAACCTCGTCCACTGCCTCCTGGAACGCCTGAAACATGGCAAAGTAAGTTTGACCTACATCATACACACAAGACAGAAAACAAACAATATGATCTAGTAATTGGTGATATTCTTTGCTGATATTTCACTACGCAGCATCCAGAGGGTGGCGAAGAAGACAAGCACCATGTCCCTGACCATCTCCTCTTCCTCCTCTGCATCCTCCTCTCGAGAGCTCTCCTCCTGCTCCTCCAGCTCCTCCTCCTCCTCCACCCTCATTGCTCAGAGGCAATCCAGCCTTGTGCAGCCTCTGTGTGTCAGCCCACAGAGGGTAATCAAGTAGAATCAAATCAGTCTTCTCCCTTTCATAGACTAAATGACCCGAAGATATTGAAAACAAACTTGTGTTCGAGACTGTTGGGGGGACAATATCGTTTTTAGTCACTCTCTAAGAGATTACCAAAATGATTATTGTTATTGATATGCTCTGTTTTTCAATTCCAGACTCAGAGTCCTATCTACAATCAGCAGTATGCAGGAAATGGAGTGGCTCCTTCTTTTGTTAAGGTAAAACACAGATTCTAGCTTCAAGAATATAAACACTGTAAGTCACAATGGAAGAAAATGATCCAGAACATCTGGAAAATGTTTGATATCACTGAAGAATACTGAGCACAAAACCATTTAACGCTGCCCTTACTTCTCGATCTAATTCTTTTCCTCCATCTTTGTTCCTGTCCTTCTCCCCCTTTCAGTGCCTCCATGATGTGTCCACAGTGAAGGGTCAGTTGGTGGTCCTCGAGTGCAGACTGAGGGGAACTCCTCCGTTGCAGGCTATGTGGTACAGAGAGGACGAACAAATTCTGGACTCTGATGACTTTAGGATACTACGAAAGAGTGAGTGTTTGACCCTGGACTCATTTAACATGACTCATCAATGTGCCTTGAACTTTCAACAGTTAAGAATTTGTTCACTTTACTAAGTCATGTATGAATCTTAAATATAGACATACCCAAGACCAGAGTGCTATGACATAAAGACAGACCAAGACATTTAGGGGTCGAGGCCGAGTCAAGGCCAAGACCAGGGCAGGGTGAGACCAAGACCAAGACCAAGACCAAGACCAAGACCAAAAATATCACCGAAAAATCAACATCTTGTGTGCAGGGGGCGTGTCACTCACATGGATGGTAACAGCGGGAAGTTTGCGGCCGTAACCGATGGAAAATAAATCAAACTACAAATGAAATTGAGGGTTTTTGTTGTTTAAGAAAGGTGCGGTTTCGTTCTAATCACACGAATAACGTGGATCAGTGGTGGTCTTTACCTGTCTTCTGGAGTTCCAGTCTGAGACCGAGACAAGACATAGAAAGAATGCTTTCGATTCCAAGACAAGACCGAAACCTTCAAAAAGTGGTCTCGAGACTGGTCTTGAGACCAGGACCGATTTCGAGTACTACAACACTTGACATAAGAAGAAGCAGAGATTTAGATCTCGAGAGAAGGTCCTACTTTTTAAGTCCACTTTCTTCCCCGCCCTTGACTAAATATAAGCATCTGATTTTCTAAATATATTGAGTATAAAATAAAGCTGCATGAAAAAACAACTTTCGCTTTATTTACAAGTCCTTGTCTAAATGATTCATCGTACTGTAAAACTTCTAATAAAAGTCCATCCCAATTTCAGGCCCAGTCCCTTTAGCTACTCTGGTGAAGCTGCGTGTTTCGACAAACTAAGTCAGGGCTCAGTTAGAGGTCCCTATGCATTCAGTGATGATATCGTGCTCAGTGTTGAACTTCAACTTGAGAAAGAAGATTTTAGATCAGCTGGAAATGTGCAAGCACGTCCTCTCAGAGTCTCCTGCATGATGATCTGTATAAAGACTACAGAAAAGTAAACCTCAGTGAGTGTCAGGAGGGACGGCAGGACTCTGCTGCTTTTGCTGGCTTTAGAGATGGAAATAAATTTTGAAATTTTGAAAACGAATGTTTTATCCATCCCTTGTGTGAAATTGTTACGCTTTATCATATGCATCTCCGTAGGCAGCACAGCAGCCGTTAGTAACAGGGGTTGCTCCTTATTATGAATGCCCCCTGCATAAAGAGGCTGTCTTACAAAGCAAGATCAAATCAGTGATATGTAAATCAATTTGTTTATATTCTAACTATGCACACACTTACACACACATTGGGACGGCTGTGGCTCAGTTGGTAGAGTCAGTCGCCTCTCAACCGGAAGGTCAGGGGTTTAATCCCCAGCTCCTGCAGCCACGTGTCTGATGTGTCCTTGGGCAAGACACCTAACCCCAAGTTGCTTGGACTGCTATGTCAGCCGCAACATAAATGGATTACTTCTGATGGTACTTTACATAGCAGCCTCTACCATCAGTGTGTGTAGGTGTGACATACACCTCTCAACTTTGTTGTGCACAAGTCCTGTTTATAGAGGCCCCTCTTATTGACATACAATGAAGGTAATAAAAGCCTGGGATATTAATTGATTTTTTTTTTTTTTTTTTACGGTAATCTCAATTTTTCCATTTCTCCAAATGAATTTTGAAGATTTTGCAATGTTTTTTTGATGTGTGACTGTTAAGAATTGTATTTCATGATGACTTCTATTAAAAGATTATTCACTTTTCTTTGTGTGTTTTCTCCAGAGGCCAGCTCTGTGTCAGTGCCAGGTCAGTATGTTGGTTATATCAGATCACTCAAATCTGAGGAGTACTTTTTACTACATTACATGTTGCTTCATTTTTCTTTTATTAGGCCAATATTCCCTTTACTATGCCAATAATGACTGAGAGAGAAACAATCCAAACAAATACTATATGTTTATAAGGGCCCCTTTCGCCATTGTAGCCCTCACTTTCACCCTCACTACGATGCTTATGGTTTAAACAAACAGGTGTAAGTAGCGTTAATGTTTATTATTTGTCTGCATTGAAGTCCTTGGTTTCCCTCTGCAGAGGAGCTGTGTACTCTGGTGATCACAGAGGCCTTTCCAGAAGACTCTGGCCTATTTAAATGTGTGGCCCTCAACTCTTTTGGCACAGTCTCCTGTTCAGCACTCCTGGAAGTTTATGACGGTTTGATGTCCATTTACTCTATATAATAACCCTTTTGTATCTCTAGAAATCAATCCTTAAAAATGGTGAGTCCAACCTTTAGTGGCGCTCATCTTTTGTTTTTCAGACATGGAGGAGCAGCTGGAGATAGAGGCCATTTGTCAGCAGGAGGCAGCTCCTCTGAGACAAGAGGAGGAGGAAGGGGAGGTGGCGTTCCAGGACGAGATGATGTCATCCCGAAAGAGTACTGAGGACTTTCCCCCTGACATACCTGACTCTCTTACCCTCCCTGCTCCTGAGTGGCCTGACAGCCCTCTAGAAGATAACCTGCCCAGTGCAGAGTGAGTAGAATGTACACACACACACACACACACACACACACACACACAAGAAGAAGAAGAATAGAAGAATAAAACTTCTTTAGAAGCATCTGGTGTTGTTTCTAAATCAATAAAAAAATCTTCAATAAAAAGTCAAATACTTTAATCTGGATTTATTCACTCAATGAAATTGTATTGTAATATTTAACAAATGACAATGTGTACATGTATCCACTATGAGAGGCTAATAACTTTTGTTTTGCATCTTTTTAATTGCTGAACTTGTTCAATTAATCTCATTCACTCCCTCTCTTTCTTTCGCTCACTGTCGTTCACTCACTCTCTCTGGGAGAGTGGGTCGTCTCTCAACCGGAGAGTTACTTAGTTCTGATGGTCACTTTGCATAGCAGCCTCTGAAAATAGAATAGAAAATAACTATTCAAGCTCAAGTCCATTTAACATTGAATCACTCACTCTCTCATTTACTTCCTTATCTTCTAGTTTTTAAAGTCTAATTGTCTTATTTCTCCTTGTAGTAAATTCCACATTCATTCAAAGAAACATGAAAACTGATGTAGTTTTTATTTACTTCCAGAGGAGGTCGCTGTTGAACTATTCTCAAAGTGTAGAAAAAAAAACAAATTCAAGTTCTCTTCTCTTTCGTCCTTTTTCTTGAGACTTCTGGCATTAGACGAAGTGAGAAGATATTCTACCCTAGTAGGCCTATAACGATCATGATTACCGATCATATAGCCAGAATAATATCATTAAGGTATTCTATTCAGAAAACGAGTACCCTACCTCTAATGGGGTCTTGAAAACACACATTCTTGTAAAAAAAAAAAAAAAAAAAGATTACTGAATTAATAGCTAAATATAATAATAATAATATAATTTATTTATACAGCACTTTTCAAATCAGGGTTATAAGTGCTTTAAAAATGAGAAACAAAAAAGGGAAAGATTATACAGCATTTCCACAAATGATAGAAATAAAAAGGAAATAAAACAGTTTAAAACCGGTAAGGCAATCACAGAAAAAGGGAATAAAACAATGTGAAACCACTAAAAGATAAAAGATTCAAATAATTAAAAATAAAAGATTCAAACAAAGGAAGCCGATTTAAAACATTAAAAGATAAACGATCAAGCAGATTAGAGGTACTGCCTTGGATATCGCCTTATTTTGGGGGCTTAAACAACGAATCCCCTAAAAGCACTTCTATATGCCTATAACTATACTGTATATTTTAAAGAATACAGTATCAGTAAGCGTGGAGTCCACTGATGTTTGATACAGTCCCTCTGTAGATAGGCCTGTTTGTTTGCTCTGTATGGTCTTTGTTTTGATGATGGTGATGGGGGGCCTCAGGGGGCCTCAGGGGGCCTCAGTTGGTCCCGCGCGTTCCCGCTCTGCATAGTCCTCGTGAGCGCGCGGTGTCACCTGTCGCTGTCCCGCCTCCCACTCCTCATCGCTGTCTGGGTTCCCTCTCAACTCAGAGAAAGTCCAAATTCATTCAGTCTGACCTGCTGTTTGTTTGTGTTGACGACACGGGCAGCAGACACCTGTGCTTTTGCGAGGTAAGAAAATAATCTCCTTTGATATCGGCTGTCTGCTTCTCAACCTTGCTGTTACAGGTCATATTTTTAAACCTCTAACGACGCGTTTCTACTTTGTTGGAATGTTTAAAACTACTACTTTTCCTTTCCTCGACATAATCTTGTTAAAAGCAGCCCTGGGCTTTTATGCACTGTCCTCTCTAAAAGGTCAAACTATGTTTAGAGCGATTGGGAAGTGGACTTGAGTCTATTTTGGGACTTTGTGTCATCCGGGTTGCTTCAAGAGGGAAATGTTAGGAGACAAATTAAATGAGGGTAAACAGTAATTGAAAATCTGCAACATGCCCTTGTCTTAGAAGTCACTCACTTTGTTTCCTCATTAGCTGCTTCATGAGTGTTAAAAAGCACCAAACATGTAGTGAGTCGCCTCACAGTCAAGTGGTACCTAGTGAGTTCAGCTGAGCTCACCTGTGAAGTTGTTGTTAATAGGCTGTCTGTCCTTCAGGCCTAACCTTCATTTGTTTGTGTTTATTTTAGAGTCATTACAAAAGGTCTTGTATTTTTTATAAAGAAAAGAAAGATACAAAAAGTGTGTCTGTGTGTGTCTTCGCCTCGATGCTGACTTGAAGCCTGGTTCATATTGAGATGCAATGGGTGCTGTGAGAAGTTATTTGGCAGAGCTCTGAGTTATGTGTCCACTGTGTGTATCCGTGTCCACTGCTATGATCTCATCCGTAATATGAAGTGCAGACATGGCATCTGTGTCCTTCACAAATTACTGTTCATCACCAGTACAGACAACAACAGTTGTTCATAAATTGTTGGCAGTGGTCTTTGCATAAAAGGTTGTGTTGATGGTATCTGGCTCACTTAAAGTTGATTTTCCTGCTTCAGTTGCCTGATGGAGAGAAACAAAAGGCTTGCCTGTATTGTGAGGTGAAAGTTTACAGGACAAGGAGAGAGCAATTGAGAGTGACCAGAACAAAGTGCGGTTTGGTGACACCTCCTCTCTCCTCCAGCGTCACACACAAAGGAGTTATCACTTACAGCGCACCATTATTAAGCACCATTAAGTGCAAGCGGCGGACAAAAATTGTCCTTCGCATGAGCTGCAGTTACCTGTGGCCTGCATTGTTGTGTTAGCAGGCTTTGGTTAACTCATAGCTTCATATTGCACATAAGCTGTCTCAGAATGACCGTGATCTAAAGACTCTGAGTATGTTATTCTTCTTTTCTCGACTGCCGCCCCGTCCATGTAAACACGATGTAAACACAGCCCGACAACAACACAGCTGGTGGGACTCGTTTGGCTGAGCTCAGTCATGAAGCCGGTTCTTTTGGATCCCAAATGGCTCTTTTATTTGGTGCCATATTTTGCCTTTAATTTAAATCAGCAATATTTAGCAATGTTTTGACCTTTTGAATGATATGTGTGCCTGTATTTTATAAAACATATTCCCAGAATAACACTATTTCACTTGATGTTTGTCACGTTAATGTTACCACAGAGCATTAGTTGTGCCTGTGGTGAAAAGATCATTCCTTTATTCTGTCGTCGTCTGTCGCCTTCAGGTGAGAACATGTCAGGCCAACTCGCAGTCAAACCAAGAAAATGAGACTTGTCCACGATCCCTTTCACGGTGATACATTGTGCCAGTTATCTTTGACCCTTTGTGAACAGCAGTGTGTGTCACTGCAGTATTTTGGTTCTGCAGAGGAGAGCTAGCTACAATCTGTTAAGCCCTCATGTTGTTGCCCCTGTGTTGTCATTGGTCAGAAAGAGGACTCAAGCTTAGCATGCTCCTACCCACAATGTCATGCACGTCTTGTGTGTGTGCACATGTCCGTGGCGGATGTGTGTGCATGTTTGCGTGTGCGTGCGTTTAAGCATAGACTGGGTGCCAGTAGAGTGTCTGCACCTGCCGGCTGTTGTCAGAATTCCAAGACAAATATAGCATTGCCCACTTAATGACGCAAACTTGAATACACATACAAATTCTCTTTTTTATCTCTTTCTCTCTCTCTCTTACGCTCACACACACACACACACACACACACACTCATGAATGAAACAGAATTTGTTTTAGCTAGATGTATCTAATAAGCTGCCAACTGATTGTTTAAATGTATTTTTTTGATCCAAACATTAGGATGAATGAACTGTTAGATGGATGCTAAAGCTAACGGCACTTACTCACCAGGCTGCTGAAGCTTGGCCCCAATTTCTTCTGCTTTTTTTACATTGTCCTGATAGTCGGTCAACAAAGTGGTAAATGGACTTGAGCTTGTATAGAATTGTTCTAGTTTTATGACTGCTCAAAGCACTTTTACACCGCATGTCACACCTACACATTCAAACACCAACATGCTACAGGAGCTGGGGATCGAACCCCCAACCTTCTGGTTGAGAGGCGACTGATTCTACAAACTGAGCCACAGCCGCCCCACATGCATTTTCTGTTATCAAGCAAAGGTCTCAGAATTGATTGATGGATTGATAAGACTTGAAGTGTGAAAATTGTCTGCTATCACAGCAGCTCCATTTTCAACACAGAAATGTAAGACAAGATACAAAGATACAAACATTGGACCCAACATTCAAACATGAAACTAGTAATCAGAAGTCTTAAACATGCTTTGATCTGGTATTCAGCTCCTTATTCAAATTTAGGATTGACTGGTGAACAAAAGAGTGCTTCAGTCTGAGCTTATTAAAACCTGTGTGATGCATATGAAGTAAAAAAAAAGATAATTTTATCATTTAATTCAGATTTAAAGTACAGTTCCTGACTCTTAAATCAGATCACATCATGTTGGTTGGTCAAACGTTTCCTGTGCGCACAGAAGAAATGTAGAAAAGTCAGAAAGACAGTGAGCAAGTGTTTGAAAGTAAATGAACAAGTTGGAAAGAACAAAAAGAGGCACTGCTATTGTCATCATACTCCTACGGAGCCCAGATTACGTGGTTGTCATGGGAACAACATTCTTTCCTAGAAGAGAAGTTGAAGTACAGTCAGGCTTCGTATTACTGGAACAAAAATAGTTAGTGGGCTGAGATGGGAGCATGGTCTGATGTGTGTAAAGGTGCTCCCTTTAATCAAACACTTAGATTTGACCAAGCCGGTAACCTCCAGTGATGAAAAATGAAGGAAATGAGGAAGTGCAGAAAACTGCATTCTTACAGGGTCCGCTTGAGGCTGGCTCCAAGAGACCCGGAAGTCACATACACATGAGGCACGCCATTCAAAAATATCAGTTTTTACAGCAGAGATTAACATGTTTACAGCCTGGTACAAAGAATGAAATAGTTCTGAGTAGTTGTTGTCTTCATTGGCACACAATGTGTGTGTGTGTGTGTGTGTGTGTGTGTGTGTGTGTGTGTGTGTGTGTGGGGGGGGTTGTCCCAAAGATAGGCACGTGTTTGACTTGATTGACGGGCAGTGTAGCTCAAGAGGCTTTAAACCCGCCTCAGGCCAGTTCTCAGTTTACAAAATTGATACTCTGTAGTTGTGGTTCCAAAGCTTAAAGAAATATATATTTTTTATGTAAAATTACCTTACCTGTCATCTGAATACATTTTGTGTTACTGTTATGGAATACAGTTACCTTTTTTTAAAATTAATTACCTCAGCCCATTACATGTATTCAAGCCTGAATGCAATGCATACATGAGCTACACTAATGTAATAGTGTTGACACTTGGTGATGAACTGTAACTCTTTGAGATTATGCACATGTATCTCATCCACTTTCCCAGACTCTTGGCTCACTTGAGCCTGTAGTTCAAACATTTTTTTTTTTTTTTTTTTTTTTTAAATCTTTGCTCACACATCTGTTTTGATCTGTTAGTTTTCCAGAGCCTCATCAAGATTACTACTCATTTGAAGAACCCTTTGGTCACAGCGAGGAGGAGGAGAGGTTCCTGAACTTGGGAAGCCAAAAGTCACCAGAGGTCACATCCAGCCCTCCCCCTCCCCCCAGCCCACCACCATCACCAACTCAAGTCAAGGAGACAAACAAAACACCCAAGCTGTTCACCCCAAGCAAGCTCAATTTCTCTGTGAGAGCATTTCTTACACTTTATGTTGTTGTTGTTTTTTTTTTATTTCTGAGACATTTTGGTCGAATTAATAGTAGCTGCTATTTTACTTAAAGGGATATTATTGCTCATTTCACTTTTTGTTTTCTAAATAAGTAACATGTAGTGTTCAGGAAGCTTGTCAGAGGGCTCGCTCCCAACTAAAGGAAATGTTTTTACGTTTGTAAATGCTTCTTCTTTACTACAATTACAAATTATGCTTTTCAGATTCAGTACATTCCTGTTTTTTTTCTTCTTCTAGCCCTCCCACTCCGGAGGTAACGACATGAACCTTTCCGACCTGCCTACCTTCACTCCCAGCACCTTCCCTCCCAGTGCCTTCAACTATGCAAGACCGAGGCATTTTATTCAATCTCAGGCCGCCTTCCAGGCTCCCAGCTACGAGAGTGTTCTGAGGGAGGCTCAGGAGAACCAAAACAACTCGCAGCAGAACTTCAGCAGTCCCCTAAACAGTCCAAGTGTTGCTGAGACACAGACGAAAATATCCTCACAAAGTCAGTCTTTTTCTCAAACTCAGTCAGTGTGCAAGTCCGTGATGCAGACCCAATCACAGATTCAGTCGCTAAACCTTAATCAGAACCAGGCCCAATCTGTTGCTCAGACCCAGACCAATGGCACAGTCAAGCCCTCTCCTTCCTCATCCAGTCTCAGTTCTCCGATGTCCACCCCGACCTTTTCTGCTGCACCTCCTCTTTCTCTTTCTGCTCCCTTACCCAGTCCCTCCACCACCATCCCTTCCTCCTCACCTTTCCCCGACTCCTCATCCTCTCTGCCCCGCACTACCATGCGTTCCACCATCACCCTTACTCCAAGTATCCCCAGTGCCACTGGCCTAGGCAGCGCCACCCTGCCCGCCAATCAGGACACCATGTCCGCACCTGCTGCCTACCTCTGCTCTGTGCTGCCCTCCAAGTCCGCCTTCTCCCCTTTGTCCTCCAACAAGCTGTCTCCCAACTCCAACCTTCACCACCAACCCATCTCCCCATCCCGCTCTCCTCTTCTCCCCTCCAGCCCTCTCCTCCCCCTGAGGGCCTCCTCCTCTCCTTCCTCATTCCCTCAGCCGCCTCTGCCAGTTTCCCCTTCTCTCCCTCGCTCCCCTGTCTCTCCGTCCTCTGTCCCACAGTCCAACACTCTCAACAGTCCGAACAGAATACAGCCTGGTGTGGTCTCACTGCCCGCCAGCTACAAGGCAACGCCAAACACGTAAGTTAAAGTATGCGTCAGCACATATATTGAAAATGTATCAACTTTTCTCTTGCCTAGAAAACATTGATCCTATGAGCTAAGTTGATATATTTCAGTGAGAGCAAAAGCTTATATGTATTAATCAAAGTGAAGAAAGATTTTTTTTTTCCCATCTCTGCTTCTTCTTGTGCTTCTCCTCCTCCCAACTCCCTCTCTCTCACTCTCTCTAACCTACAGCCTTCCTAAGCCTATCCTCAAGAAGTCTGTAGCTCCTCGGCCTTCCTCCGCTCGCTCCACAGATGAAGACATCCAGGGCTCCAAAGATGCCCTGATACAGGACTTGGAAAAGAAGCTGCGTTCTAAGGAGGCCAGAAGGAGACCCAGCCAGGTGTGTGTGTGTGTGTGTGTGTGTGTGTGTGTGTGTGTGTGTGTGTGTGTGTGTGTGTGTGTGTGTGTGTGTGTGTGTGTGTGTGTGTGTGTGTGTGTGTGTGTGTGTGTGTGTGTGTGTGTGTTTTTTGTGTGTGTGTGTGTGTGTGTGTGTGTGTGTGTGTGTGTGTGTGTGTGTGTGTGTGTGTGTGTGTGTGTGTGTCTGTAAACTAAATGTCAGTACAGGAGTCATACGTGTCATCCGCCCCAAAAGCAAACAAACATTTCCCCCACTACCCCATTCATTTCAGTCCATCCAGTTTGTGTCTGTTTGAACCTAACAGAAATTTTATCTGTTTTCCAAAACAAATAACATCACACTTTTGATGTGTGTATGAAAACAACACTGTAACAGTATAAAGCTTCAATTTCGACAGAAACTGTCCTATGAGGAGCGTATGGCTCGTAGGCTGCTGGGTCCAGACAACGCCAACTACATGTTTGACCAAGACAATCTGTCAGACTCACAACCAGACCAGGTACGACAACAGATTTAGCCATGGGACGTTTAACTTATTCTAAAAATCCTCCAATCTCATCATTTCTAACAGCGTGTTTCAGATTTAACAGATGTGTGTTGCAGTGCTGACTGTACTGTACAGACATTTCTGTTGATCTGCTTCAAAACCCATTAGCTCTCACTGTGCTATGAAGTGAAGACCGCTCATTATTGCTACCTTTTTGGGTTTGAATGGTTACAGTTTGGCAGTTGTGGCTCGGTTGGTAGAGTCGGTCATCTCTCAACTGTAGGGTTCGGGGTTCAATCCCCAGCTCCTGCAACCACATGTCCAATGTGTCCTTGGGCAAGACACTTAATCCCAAATTGCGCCCGCAGAGTGTGAATGTGTTTGAATGGGATTAGTTACTTCTGATGGTCATTTTACAGAGCAGTCTCTGCCATCAGTGTGTGAATGTGTAGGTGTGACCTGCAGTGTAAAAACGCTTTGAGTAGTCAGAAGACTAGAAAATAACTATACAAGCTCAAGTCAATTGCCATTCACACAAGGAGCTATTTCCCTCTAAGGGCCTCCCAGTCCCTGGTTGAAAAGTCCTGTAGTTTATCCAACAGCCCAAGTGAGCTATGTCATGCTGTCATTATGGATGGTTACATCGTGTGTGTGTGTGTGTGTGTGTGTGTGTGTGTGTGTGTGTGTGTGTGTGTGTGTGTGTGTGTGTGTGTGTGTGTGTGTGTGTGTGTGTGTGTGTGTGTGTGTGTGTGTGTGTGTGTGTGTGTCCTGTCAAAAAGCCTCTGATACTCACAGGGCTTTGCACCATCTATTCCTTCACCTTCTCATAAACACAACACAAACACACACAACACGTGCATGTACACACATGGACACACAATGTCCTCTGATGCCAACAAGGTTTGTCAGAGGCTATTTCCAGCCTGCTGTCTGAGAACAAGGCCATTCTACTGACAAAGGGACCTTTGTGTCACACTACACACTCATGCGCAATACTAAACACCATTTACATGCTATACATTTCATCAAAGTTTTGATTACCTCTGTTTATTTTTTATATGTTTTCTGATATAGCCAGAATCACCAGAAGGAAGACACAAGGGTGGACTATGGTAAATACAACTTATGCATTCATTTACCAGTTAAATTTGGACCATTGAACACTGAGATCGGGTTTTTGAAGAAGTATGGCTGCATGTGCTCACTCAATTAAGTAGCCAAACTACATTTTTAAAAGTTGGTGCATTCAAAATAATTATTCTTATTTTGATTTTTAGACTTGTTCAAAGCAAGCATTTAGATATTGTTCCGAAGCCTCAACTACTGACTGTCATAAAGTTTCAAATGTCTAATGGGAGAGATAAAAATGTCTCAGTAGCCATGCAGAAGAGGACGGTAACCATGGTTACCAATCAGGATTAATATGGTGTCTTGTGTTTTTGCCTTCACTTGTGGACTGTACAATTCAGCCATTTAAAGTGAGGTAAAATGAGGTCATGAATAAATAATCGGTCTCTCTGCAGGGGGAAGCACCACTCAGGGACAGATGAGAGGGGAAATGAGGGCTCAGCTATTCAGGAGAAGTGTTACGCTCCTCGCTTTTTGCAGATCCCTTCAGACCTCACAGTGGAAGAGGGGCGCTTCTGTAGGATTGACTTCAAGGTGAATCAATATCACACACTTGCGTGCATCAACAACCAAGTTCTCACATCTTAGCTTTATTAATTCACTTCTTTTTCACTTCTAAACAATGCACTTACAGTGGAGTCATTCAATTGAAATAGAGAGAATAAATCTTGACTTTTATACTTCTTTAACCAGGTGGGAGGCCTCCCTACACCAGATCTCTGCTGGTACCTGGACGGTAAAGCCATCCGTCCAGATGACTACCATAAGATGCTGGTGTGTGAGAAAGGGATGCACTCATTTATCATAGAGATTGTGACAGTGCACCATGCTGGCGTGTACGAGTGTGTGGCCAGAAACAGAGCAGGCGAGAGCAGATTTACCATGAGGCTTGACGTTTTGGGTAAGACCCTAACTTCATCATTATAGTAATACTTATTCATTCAATTAATTCTATACCAGTCATACTTTGTGTAGTTCTTCTGGGTCAAAATGAATCCCCTTTGTTGTGCATCCTCTTCTTCCTCTCTGTAGCCCAGGAGGCTCTCCGTCCTCCCACATTCGTCGTGAAGATGTTAAACTCCAGAGCTCTAGAGGGCGACACTGTCAGGTTAGAGTGTAAAGTGGACGCCTCCCCTCCACCACAGCTATTCTGGAAGAAAGACAAAGACATGCTGCGTATTGACCCAAACAGAATGAGGTACGTACTTTCGTCCAAACACTCCCTACGCTGCACTCAAAGCTGATACTGAAGATGCACCCTGTTCAATAGACAAAACAGTGTGTCAGTTTAAAGGTCACATATACTCCTCCTTTTCAACAAGTTAAAATTAGTCCCAGAGCTCCCCAAAAACAGAAGTTTCTTGTCATAAATCCACTCTGATCCTGTATTTGATCATGCCTATAAACCCCTCTATTTCAGCCCTGCTCAGAACAGGCTGTTTCTGTGACTGTACCTTTAAATGCAAATTAGCTGTGTCTGGCCACACCCCTCTGTCACATAAAGGTGACTCTGGCTTTCTTGCACTATGCCCTTTTGTTTACTGAGAGAAGGCAAACTCAGGGCAGACCACACACCTAGCTGTGTGAGTGTCACCCACTGGGGTTGTGATGTCATAAAGGGAAAATCTCCAAACGGCCTGTTTGAGCACATATTTTCCTGAAAAGTGGAGCAGGCAAAAGACGGAGAGGAAAAAATATTTCTCTTAATTGTGTGGTTTGTAGACAGACTAGAGACACGTATTAGTGTTTAAAAAACATGGTAACGTGTATTTTGAATAATATGGGACCTTTAATGATTAATGGATCACATCAATAGTGAAGAGGCAGACAACAAGACATTTGTGACCTCTGTCATCCATCATTTAAAATCTAAATTGTCACGAAAAAATCTAAACTTAAAAAGAAGAAAAGCGATATGGGTTGCTCAAAATGTTGAGTCACATGTGAAGGTTTCCTTGGGCAAGACACTCAACCCAAAATTGCTCCGGCTGCTTCGTCTTCTACAATTTGGAAGAACTACACATGCCAGATATTTGAATATTTGAATGCTTAACCCTTTTTTCAGTGGGTTATTTATTTATTTGTTTATTTTGTAATATTATGCACACAAAAAACTACTCGCCCAGCCTCTTTCTGTCTCTTCCTCAATGTCTATGTTTGCTCTTTACTTGTAACCTTAAGTAAGTGTATGTGTGTGTGTGTGTGTGTGAATATATATTTTTGTATTATAAGTAAACTTCTATTCTATTCTATATTTAATTATGCCTTTTTTCTGTGTCTGTGTTTTTCCTTTTTCATTTGAATTTTTTTACAGATGCTACCATGTGCTGGATTTGTGATGAAATGTGTTTTACAATTGCTCATCTCTCTTTGTTTCTCTGCAGTCTGTACCAGGATGGTTCAGGCCGTCAGTGCCTGTTGATAGAGAGGTTGACGAAGGCTGATGCCGGTTGGTACACTCTCTCTGCCATCAATGAAGCCGGCATGTCCACATGCAACGCGAGGCTGGATGTAGGGAGTAAGTCCACTGTGTGTTCTTCTTTCTATATATGTGTACTTCAACAATGTGTTCATCTCAGCTATCGATTGTACATCATAGCCTGGTAGTTAATTGACCATGGTAGCACAAACAAACTTAGAAACAGCAGACGGAGAATGTTGTCCATTCAATACTACAGTGAATCCAGCCTGGTAACATAGAAGACAACAGACAAATGCTGTGTTATGTGATCGCGCGGAAACCTGATGAAGGCATGTAGCTGCTCGGCTTTTCTAAGGAGCACTGCATGATCACTGAGTCACAACGATAAGTATGGAATCCATCCCCTAGTGAGAGAAAGCTCACTGGAGGAAAGTGCAACACAGCTATTGGATTTCTGCGCGATGACAGCGCACACCATCTGTGTAGTGGAGATGGAGCTGAGTGACAGGACTGACGAAGAAAAGAACCTGACCCCTGACCCCCCGTTACGCATGAACTGGACTTCATTCTCACCCAGGATTAGAGTTCAATGTCTTAAACTGGCTTAGATGTTGTAGAATATACAGTGTGTGTGTATATATATATATATATATATATATATATATATATACACATATATACTTGAATTTCCCCACTGGGGATCAATAAAGAATAATATTATCTTTATCTTATTTTATGTGAACATGAATGCAAGAAAGCATTTTAAAGGATGTTTGAAGGGTATACAAGAGTTACAGATTATAAGTGATCATTATTTAATTCAATCAATGTGTTTTTAATTTACTAAAGGAACATAGCAATACAAATGGAATTCAATGAAAAAGAAAACATCAAAATATGACTATGATTTTTTTTTTTTCTTTTTTTGGGGGGGGGGACATATTCCTTTTTTTATAAACTAGCTATAGAGTTTAACAGTGTTTTTCCCGGAGTAAAAACCCCATTATTTCTTCTCCACAGTGGATTTGGTTATTAGCCATAATGTCATAACCATGCCAGGTAGACTGACTCCTGTAGGAGACACAAGTGTGTATGATATCAACCTCGTTTTAAGAAAAACATGGTTTATTCACGATATCAGGGAAAAGAACTACACTAAGAGTACTTAATAATACCCACAACCATAGAGTGTCACAGTGATGTCTCTGGATGGTGGAGCTTGCTGTTACCATGGCAGTGTTTCCGGCCCCTTTGCGCCGAATGCGAATGGATAGTTTTGCTAACATGCAAGCTGGTTAGTTACAGTAGCTAACATGAATTGTACTAAAAACTCTGTTGTGCTCAAGTGAATGTAATTTATGTGTTTCACCGCACAAACTACAAGGTAGTTCAACGCTTGTATTAATAGTATAAACACCATAACAAAGACTAAAGTCACATTTAAGAAGAAGCAATATCATGATATGGGCAGTTCCTTGTATCTTTTTATTTTTTTAAGGTTTGTTTTTGGGCTCTTATTTTAGAGATAGGACAGTGGATAGAGAAAAAGTGGGCGGTCAATGTTAAGCTCTATTGAGACTTTTTTAATTTTCTAGATTCTAGATTCTTTGTATCATCTACCCTAGAATAAAAACTTAGAAGCTTGTGTTTCCCTTGAAGGTTTCCCCTCACAAACTCAACTGCTTTCTCCACAGTTGCACGTTCCAGTTAAAAAGCTCACAGATTGGGGTTGGTTAAAAGTCTGAGAGCCAGAGAACCACTGACTTCACCAATAAAAAAGATTTATTTAAAGACACCTGGCCTGGAAGGAATGCTGCTGTCCGTGACACCAGGGGTGTCATTCATGTTGTCTCATAACAATAATAACAAAGAAATGTGTAGGCTTCAGATTTATGCCTGAAAGTCTTAATTGACTAAAGATGTGTTTATAATCTTTTACCCCTTCATGTGTGTCATATATTATTGATTTCAGCTTTATGCTAAAATCAGTGAAATGAAGAAGCAAATACAGGATTTAAAAAATTTGCCAAATTCCAATTCAAGATGGCTATTTTTGTTTTTAGCCGAATTAATTGACTTATGGTTGTAATGTGTACTGGCTCAGTCAAAGAACATTTAAATTCATTTCTTCTCTTTTTGCCCTTTGCAGCTCGTTCAGCCCCTCCCATGAAAACAGCACCCCCTGGTTCAAAGACGCTGAAGCTGCTGTCCTCACTGAGCCATGGGCCTGCACTGACAGTGGACACCCCTGCACAGCACACTGCCCCACTGTACGAGAGTGAGGAGCTGTAGTCCCCAAACTGAACCAAGTCCGTCTCATCCTCAGGCCGTCATCACACATCTCACAGCTGTGCAACTGGGGCAGGAGCCTGTAGTCAGTAGCCCTATTCAGACTGCTGTTTCAAAGCGATATTTACGCCCCATGACGTTTCGTACTGCCTTCGGAGGTAGTAACAGAGTCTGAACGTTATCAGCGTGGGAGCACAGCGCTGTGTGTTTGTGCATGACTGACTGTGTGTGTAAGTGGAGATCCTGCTCTGCTGTGCTTTCCGAAACGCAATGTGAATTCACAGAATGGTGCAAGTATATAACACCATCGCAGAATCAATATGATTGTAAAAAGATATTATGACCATTTTGTGGAAAAGCAGTCTGAAAAGGGCTTCTGTCATTTTCAAGGCAGATAGTTTGGAATACAAATGAACAGCAGACAAGACGACATCTTTAGTATACTTTTGAGTCCAAGCTATCTAAAGTTTGGTTGTATTCTTGGAAACGTTTTTAAGTTGTATGTCACATTTCTGAAATTAATTATACATTCATCACATTTTCAAAATATGGCTGACATCCTCAAAACAACCATGCCTCTGATATGTCATTAAGAGCTATGCTTCCTTGTGCATCAAGATAGAAAGACCTCATACCGTCCATCTGCTACTGTTGGGTTTCCCCTGTGACTGTTTGTTGTCAAAGACTGTAGAGACCATGTTTGATATGTTTGACCCCCTCCACTCTGTCCATTTGTCTCCTCACTCGCCCCTCTAGTCTGCCCTCGTCAGAGTAGCTTGTATAGATCATGGTTGTATTAATAGACCTGTACATGGTGTAAAAGAGTCAGCCATAGTGCTAACCAAAATCCTGTGACACAAACTCCTGAGATCCATAAATCATTTTATTTTGGTTTGAAAACAGAATGAACCCTCTTTTAACCCAAGAACCTAGAAACCACTTTGCCATCATCTGCAACTGCATCTTGATTTTGACAGTTATCTGCTTTTCTCGCCGTCACCTGCTCACGTTTCAGAAGATTTAGGCTGAGTTAGAAGTGTTCTGTGATGAGACTACACATTTAAATGTGTTGCGTCTGATGATGTGTGTCTGTAACCACAGAAAGAAATCTTATTTTAAAACTCACCCAACCATTACCATCTTTATTAGACAGTCACATGCAGCTTTTAGTTACTGCTCAGATTCTCTGCCTTGCCATAAGTTGAGCCTCAAATGTGTTTTAAAGCTGGTTTCTTATATACAGTGTATGTGAATGAAGCTATTTATAATTTTCACCTGAAGTTATAGTCAGTGTTAGGACTTGAAGTTGCCTCTGTCATGGCCTACAAAAGCATGCAGTGGTGCCATCAACAAGTTGTCAAAGTGCCATTCTGACACCCAGCCTCTAAGTGAACATGGAACTGATGTTGCACTGAGTACGACACTCAGATCTCATTCAGGATAGTTTACATTTTGTCGCATCTGCAGTGCAGAGAATAAGTTGAGACAATCATTTTGTACCCCTTCCATGCATCATAAACTTCAGTTATAAAGATCTGGGCCCTGAACTACTGCAAACTCCAGAGCATTACATTAAAAAAATAACAATTATTATGAGGCTTGATTTTCCTGCATGCCACAGCTTGTTTTTGTCATGACAGACAGAATTCATTATTATCTAAACTTTTTTTGGCTGGATGTGCATGCAAACTGATTTGGGTCACAAGAGGAACATCAAGATGGAAACTTCATTGTCTGGTTCGTTGCGGAGTAGTCATGCTTCTTTGACCATTTGCATTGAAAGTGCTTTTCACTTAGAACTGTTTCTGGCTGTATTCAGACCTTAGTGTGTAACTGCAGGAAGTATTGTGTGTTTACCTTAAGTGCTGTTTGTTGTGTAAGAAGTTCTACATATCACAGGATGAATGAGGAAGGAATAAAGTTGATTTCAAACGTAGATTGTCTCCGTGTTTTTTCTTAAACATGTTGTAAATTTTCATGAACAAATGTTGTCTTCAAACTTGTGTAAAATGCTCATGAAAAGATGTTGACCGTGGACGTGTCCAGAATTTATTCGACGTAGGTATGTATGTCCTTTTTTTTCTCTGTTTTTCGACATACATTAGATAAAGCTCTGGTTGTAGCAAGAAAAGATCTCGTTATTACGACAAAGCTTTCGTAATAACGAGGCTCTGAGGAGGCACAGGTTTGTTTATGGGAGTGTACAGTACACCAGCGGCAGCTCATTACAAGGTGGAGAATCAGGTATTAGCTATAGTAATTGTTAATTGGCTAACTAGTGAATATTAAATGAATGTGTTTGTGTAACATTATACCAGAATGGCATCTTTTTAATGGCTTTTTATCATTTAATGAGTCTCTGGTCAATCAGCCTTCTAACTAGAACTAACGCTAGCTAGCTAGCTATTATTGCTTGTTAGCAAGCTATAATTTGTTCAAGCTAATTAGGGGGTTGGTTGTGGTCTTTATTGTTGTCCTCCTCTGCCCCACAGGTTATGTTATGTAGCAGTAAGTTCCAGCATTTTGTGTGCAAAAGAGGAAGGAATGATGCTAATGCCATCCCTAAAACATCAGCGTTAATGTTACTATATCTAACTTTATTAAGCTAGCGTTAATGTTCTTTCCCTGCATATCCCACACTTAAAGATCCAGAAATCACCAGCTGTCTGATGAAGATGAAGGTCTCTGGACCTTTCTTCGGAATCGAGGTGTTCCCGAGGAAAATATACAGAAAATGGAGCGGGACAAGGTAACTAACACAGCTAAGTTACACATGTAATGTTATAGCTAAGTTCAAGTGGGTCTGGCTAACTTAAAGGCCTACTATGTGATTTGATCCAGCAGATGTCGCCCTTGAGCACCAGCATGAAACCAAAACAAATGCTAATGCTAATGCGATCTTTATTATGCTCGTATCTTCACACTGCATGTAAATTTACCCGAAATGAGCGTGATCTAGAAACACAGTTAAGCAGTGAGTACAGTATGTTATTCTTCTTTTCTCTAGTCCCTCAATTAAACAACTTTTATACGTCCCAGTATGACAATCCTGTAAATGCACCAACTTGAGGAGTGATGTCTCTTGTTAAAACTGAAGCTTCTCATGCCTTCATTTCAATATTTTCTTTCAGCTGCTTGGTGAATCACCTGTTATGATAATGGCATACGGTGTAAACAAAACGCATGAAATCTTATTTGAGAGTCTTTAGTGTACTGCTAATGAATATTGTCAAAAAGCAGAAATAAAAACTGTTCTCAAATGCTTTTAGGAAAAGTAAGGGACATTTTGGATTGTGGCTCTTGCAAAAAAATGTTCGTCAGTGTGGCCCTTGAGTCCAACATGGTTGAGTACCACTGGTCTAGAGGCTTCTCAAAGTCCAAACCCCGCTAGGTGCACAAATGCTTGGCACAAGTGTAAACTCCACCAAACTTTGCAGAGGGGCACAATCCCACATTATTAATGAAAGAATGACATTTGAAATGAAAATGAGAAGTCACTTCATTGATTGTGACTTTATTTTGCCAGATATTAATGCCTTCGTTATTTGTGCAGCCTACTGTGAGTGTAGGAGCGAGCTGCCTATGCCTTAAAAAGACATATTGGATTAGCAGATACATGAATGAAATATAAGTAGGCCTATATAGCCTGCTGTTTATGTGAATCTCTCTGTGTCATTATTTTTAATAGTGTTAAACTGACATTAATAAGTGTTTTGGTATTGTTTGCAATTATTATTTACATTTAAAAACAATTATTGCTACTGAAAATGTTCTACAAGAAATAAAAGCAATACTAGTTCTTGTCTTAGAAATGTACTGTCTTCTTTCCTCCAAATAATTGTAGAAAAGTCTTGAGTAATTAGAAATAAAAGTGAGTAAATCTTGAATTGTTAAGCAGTCTCAATAATGGTATCTATGTCGATATAAAGTAAAAATCCCTAATTGTGTATCGAAACATATATTGAGTGTATCATCACACCCCTAATGTGGTGTCTTTATGTTTGATAGCTTTGGTATAAATATGATATACTTATACTGGAAGACATCAAATAGTGCTACTGAAATATATTGACATTTAGATGGACTAAATTATGTTTTACTTCATTACAGATTGACACCTCAGTAGCTGGAGAACTGAATGATGCACCTATGGCTGTTTACATTCCGACATATCGTGACCGGATTGCTACTTGGCGGTTCTGCTTTGGAAAACAAAAGAAAAATGGAAGATGACGCCAACAGACTATCCTTGCTTGACAAACTCAGAAGGAAGATGAGGACAGCCAGCAACAAAGATAAGGGTGAAGAAGATTCTGATGAGGAGAGTTGTACTATCAAACAATCAAGGAAGCACCTAAGACATAATAAATGGCTGCCAAGATGACAAGAAAAGTAGAATTAGGATGGATACATGAGGGAAAGCAAGTGAGAAAACGCTGTGCTGGAGGATGCAGAATCTTTGATATTGCAAAGAGTGCCACAAAAAAAGACATTATATCACATGCAAAACAGCTGTTTTTCAGTCACAACATTGTTGACTTTCAGGAAGCAGAACTTGAGGATACTGTTAATGTGGGAGAGCTGTATGAGGCACTGAAATTGGGGCTCTTAAGATTTTACTTACTGACGGAGCTTCTGGTAGACAAAGATGAAAATTCAACAGAGATTCATGATGAAGTTGAAAAACAAGCTGAGCCAATGGATGCTATTTCTTCAGTCTTACACCTTAGATGTTAGACACATTAGGATACGATCAGAGCGGGTAACAAAAAAAAAAAGTAAGGTGGATGTTTTTTTGGTGTCACTGTAATGTTTGTTTAGGCCAAATCACAACTAAGGGTGTACTACGGCAAACACCTGGGCCCGGTGCTCCCAGGCTATATAATCAAGGCCATGTTACCCAGTCTGCTCTCTGCTGCTTTTGGATGTGGTTCGTATTTTTTGACTTATTCCTAATTTTTTTGCTCTTTTCTTAGCAGGCACGCTGCCAGTGGTGTGAGGACTGCAGCGTGGCCTCATATTATATTATGCTTTTGAACTCTTAACAGCATACATAGCTGTTCTTCTATTAAACTGTTAATATGTTTTGTTTAAACTACACATCCATCTTTATCCCTGCACAGGTTATGTAAAAGTTTTTGTCTTTTTTTTTAAAAATTGCACTGGTTTAATTTTGAACACAGAACACTGTACACTGATGATCACAAATGTGGATACTGTCATTGTCATGCAAGCAAGCTATCTTGTGTTCATGATGTTGTTCTGAAGAATGAATTCTTAAGTTAAAAACCTGAACAGAGGCTTACAGACTGGGAGAAGCTGTACTTGTGCGCCCTCTGCTGGTTTATCAGTGTCAGTGTTGGTGTACAAATCTGAAGTAAGCTTATGCAAAATTTGTATAATGGTCCTTAGTGTGGTACCTTTACATGTTGGTATACATGTGAAACAGTTAAAAAAATCAACATTACAAGATGATATGATGACTTTTTTCTTTCACATTAATGTCTTTGATTCAAATGTATCAATAAAGTGAGAGAAATTCTTAACACACTTTGCAACATACAAAAGCTTCTTTTCTGCTGATTTGCTTTTAAAAACGAATGTGTCTTACAGAAAGAAAATGCATGCAAACATTTACAAGCTGCAAACATGATTAATATGTAAACAATGACAAAGTTATCAACATTGTTCTAAGGCTAAATTGATTAAATATTTGCGATTGGAATGTTTTCACCTTCACAAAATGCATGTTGTATATTGTAGGCACCGTAGGGTAATTAAATAATAATAAAAACTAAATTAATCAGGTAATTGAATTTAGGTGATTTAAATAGCTTGATGATAACACATACCTGTTGTAGCCTACTTTGTGTTTTTGTCACGGATTTATTTTTATTTTTTTGGAGAGAAACAAATTGACAAAAATTGTATTTCTTGATGTAGCCTATCATTATCATTTTATGATTCAGTCATCATGCATCAACCATGTAAATGTCACTTTTACATCGTGGGGTTGTTTCATCTTTAACAGAGATGTTGTCTCTGTCTCCTGCCCAGGGCCTGCAGATGTAACTTAGCTCATGTATCTCTGGTACAGTGAAGTACAATGTAGACTGTCTCAGTCAAAATAGAAACATGAATAAATAGCCTCTTATACATGTGAAGGCTTTATAACAGATATAAATGCATCTGCACGCAGAGACATGAGGACGGGCACACAAACACACACAAATATCATCATGAAAGTATTTTTATACCATTTACACATTTGTAAAAGTATGAAAAATAAAAATGAATACAGGGAAAATAAAATAATAGTGATAAATAATAAAAACAATATTTCTCTTTCTGTACCTGCACTAAAACGCACGCACGCACGCACGCAAGCGCGTCAGTAATTGTCATGGAAACAGATCCAACCGAGGCTATATAAGGCCATCGAACCTTCAATTCTTCCCTTTTGCACTTGAACTTTGAACGAGTTGACCTGCAAAATCTCAGCTGTGAAGCTAACCTTTGAAAAGCGCTCAAGAGAACTTCTACAAAACTTTAACAAAGATTTTGGATATTTCATCTCCAGTGGAAAGCCGAAGAGTCTTTAAATAGCCTTCAGCGGACCACTCATGGACCCGGGACACCTGCCGGTGGGAGTCGCTCCTCCGAAACAGTGTTCAGGTAAGACTTTAACCCTTTTATGCAGCCTAATTGATCAGTTTACTACTTAATAATGCAGTATTAATCCTCCCTACAACTTTTAAATGCGTTATCAGTTCAGAAATCAGTGTAACTTTTACATTTGAAGGTCGTTCACACCGTGTTATTAGGCCTGTTTGAAAGAAAACTCATTTCTAGAAATAACCTTTCACTAGTCGACGTCCCTTTGTAAAACACTTTTTGAGGACTTAAATCTTTCAAATATCCCGGGAAAAAAGTGGAGGGAATTACCTTACAGTTAAAGTGGTTTAAACAATGTTATTTTGGTTTGAGAGCATTTTATTTTCCCAAATTTTGAACCGATATTAAGCAAATGTTAGCATGATATCAGCAGAAATTCGTAAAATGCTAAAAATGTGTATTTCTTGTGCACCATGGAGATGACGGTCATGACGCACGTGCTGCGTCATGACCGTCACACGTTCTTCTGAGTGGATTTGGATCTTGATCGTTTGATTGGACTGTTGAAGTCTGGTTTATTATATCTTTAGTTTATATTAACACCTAGTCCTTTTAAAATACTCATAGCCTATTCAATTAACTCAAATTAGGACCGTGCTTAGGCATCCTTAATGGGCTATTGAGGATAGGATTGTTGAGCACCTCCTACCTGAACAAAAGTTTGATAAAAATGGCTTCAAAATGATAATCAAGGTTTATATATTAATAAATATATATTTATATATTCTGAAACACGGCTGTTCTCCTCAGTCAAAACAATAGCGTCATTCAGCTGGCAGGTGATTCTGCAGCCTCTATTTTAATGTCTCACATCTTTAAAGTTTTTATCACTGTAAGAAATGTTTGCAATCATGACATCATTTGATAACATCTTTGAAGTTTAGTTTCTAATTTTGAAACTCAAACTCTTCAGCCATATCATTGAATATTCTTTCCATCCATGTAGTCTGAATGTGTCCTTGTTAAAACTTTTCTTTCATGTTCAGCCTGTCAGAAAGGGTCCAGTAAATGTAGAATGTTGAAATATAAAATAGTGCACAATATCTGCCACTCTCAACTTACTTTAATTTATTATTGTTGTTTATTTGGTTACAAACATTGAATGATCTAAGGAAAAGTTAGTTGTTGATTTTATTATTAACACACCTTTGCTTTTCCCCCTCAGACACTGTGTCCAACGTCCCCGCGCAGCCTGCAGGAGATGGCGTCCCCGCTGTCGTCAGGACTGTCCGCGCTGACCAGGATCGCCGTCTCCCAGTCGTCTCCATTCCTGGCGTGGCGAAAGGTAAGTATGGAATTCCTTTAGCAGGTAAGGCTGGGGGCAGTCCCCCAGTCTTTGACGATGACATCGAACACCTCATGGACGTCGACGTCAGCGATGACGAGGAGGATGATGACTTCATGGACTGGACTGATGACCATGGACACCCAGAAACCGATGACAGCATGGACTGGACTGACGCTGGAAACGATGAAGACTCCAGACCTCGCTCCTCTCTCGTGAAGCACCTCCCAGGGTGTCCACCAGTCCCCACCGGTCCACCCGCTCCTGCTCGTCCTCCTGCTGGACCGCCTGTCCCCATCCGTCTACCTGCTCGTCCTCCTGCTGGAACGCCTGTCCGTCCTTCTGCTGGACTGCCTGTCCCCATCCATCCGCCCGTTCCTGCTCGTCCTCCTGCTGGACCGCCTGTCCGTCCTTCTGCTGGACCGCCTGTCCGTCCTTCTGCTGGACCGCCTGTCCCCATCCGTCCGCACGTTCCTGCTCGTCCTCCTGCTGGACCGCCTGTCCGTCCTTCTGCTGGACCGCCTGTCTCCATCCGTCCGCCCGTTCCTGCTCGTCCTCCTGCTGGACCGCCTGTTCCTGCTGGTCCTTCTGTCTCCACTCCAGAAGAGTCTGCTCCATTCACCTCAGGCCTGGGCCCCTACTCGAAGAGTATCAGGAAGAAGAGTGCTGCTGCACAGGACGTTGTGAAGAGGACCAGGGAGGAGAGTGCTGCTGCACAGGACGTTGTGAAGAGGACCAGGGAGGAGAGTGCTGCTGCACAGGACGGTGCGAAGAGGACCAGGAAGGAGAGTGCTGCTGCACAGGACGTTGTGAAGAGGACCAGGAAGAAGAGTGCTGCTGCACAGGACGTTGTGAAGAGGACCAGGGAGGAGAGTGCTGCTGCACAGGACGTTGTGAAGAGGACCAGGGACGAGAGTGCTGCTGCAGAGGACATTTTGAAGAGGACACAGGAAGTTTTGAAGACGACCAGGGAGAAGATTGTTGCTGCACTGAACGGTGTGAAGAGGACCGGGGAGGAGAGTGCTGCTGCACAGGACGGTGCGAAGAGGACTAGGGAGGAGAGTGCTGCTGCACAGGACGGTGCGAAGAGGCAGAGGAGGGTTACCAAGACATCGACGACAAGCAGCCTGCCACCTCCGGATCAAGCTCCTCTACACTCAGAAGATTCTGACCAGCTCCTGTGGACGACAGCGACTCGGACTTCAACAGTCGCTGTAGAGGACCTGTTTGCGTATACAAATTGTATATACATTTTGTGACCAGCAGGACTGAAGAGCCCAGGATCAACTTCCCAAATATTTGATGTGGTTGGTGATCACTCAGGTGGTATCTCTAGCACCAGGTTCTAATTCATACCTGGCTGCCTTATGATTTGATTGTATTAATAAAGCTGTAGATGACTGTACCAGAGGTAAGTTCACAATTCTTAACGGCATCAACAAAACTTGTATTTTAAATATTCAATTCACTTATTCAGTTGTTCATATATGATTACTTCTACTAACTCTTTTGTTTCTGTTTGTCTCCATAAAGTGTTGATGATTATTCCAGATTAAAGTAAGTTAACTTGTTGACAATGCAAACAAATGTGTCCTGTAAATCATCATCCCTCTCGTCAATAATTTAAAAAAAGATCAATTTACTCATTCTGTTCATGTTTTTTTAATAGGTGATTGTCCATGAAAAAGGTAAGGTTATAATTTCTTAACATTAACATTAAAGATTATTTTAAAGCCTCTGTTGATTTTACTATATGTAATTGAAAACAACTTTGGTTGAATTTCTTGCACTTCTTAAAATATATTTCATGATTATTTGTCTGGCTAACTCTGTGGGATCTTTATGTGTTTTGTTGTACCA